GGGTGTTTTAATTTATCAATTTTGATTAGATCAAAATAATATTTCACGTCGTTAGGCATCGTGGTCGAGAACCTAATGGGTCACACACAAAAGAGAATTGGAAGATTGCAAATTGCCAATTAGTTAATTTAACAATCGTTGGATAAATTAATTAATTGGATTTGTTATTTATATTTTCGAATTAATTAATTAGATTAATTAATTCACGGACCGGATTTAATTAATTGGATTAATTAATTATTGGACCGGACCGGGCCGAGCCTGTTTGGGTTTATATAAATACATAACTAGGGTTTGAGGTCCATTAAGGTTTTCATTATTCTTGCTAGCACAAGAGAAAACCCTAGAGGCTGCAATCATTTTCTCTGTGTGGATCACCGTTGGAGGCTGGACAATTGGACAGCTGTGGTGGCGAATCAAAGTTGTGGAACGAAAAGAAAAGCAAAAGGATTGCAGATCTGGAAAAGGTACAATCCTATCACAATTCCTAACCAAACACAATGAGATCTATTGGATGGGAATCGAAATATATTTTAAATTCCGCTGTGCATGTATAAGTAGATTCCCAACAGGGCCCAACCCCTCCCGCCAACTTGCTCTACCTTAAATAGGTAACGGGGCGGGAAAATGCCAAATGGGTGTGGGCCTGATCCATTGCCATCCTTATTTCAATTTTGCTGCACAATTTTATAATTTCAGAAATACTTCTAGTGCTTAGTAAAATTAATCATCTTTTAATAAGCACAAAAACGATTAATCGCTTACATCATGCAATTCAAGATTCAACCGTATTTCATGAGATCTTCCATTTTGGACTCCAAAAAGATTATCTAACGTCAACAAAATATTTGGTTTTGTGATTACATTACATACTGGTATAAAATTTAGAGATAATTGCAATAACCTTTTCAATTTTTGCAAACTTTATCTTAACCTTCTTTTTGTGTTAGTGAAGGTCCCAACTTTTCATAAATATGTAACCGAGATCCAACTAGACAAAAATCGTCTAAAACACAGTTAGATGACTTGTAAAATTAAAAATGAGGTATTTTGACCATTTTAATTAAGGATATTTTCATCAATCATATATTGATAATTAAAGTAATTAAAACTCAACAAGGAAAAAAAAAAAAAAAACTAACCCATCCCTTTTCCCCACCGCCTAGCCCAAATACATCATCTTTTCAACACATCCATCCCCATTTCCACCCCCACCTCCTCTTTGCAGTGTTGAAGCTACTTACATGATGTCACTCAATCATGCAATCTTTTCTCTCAAACCCCAATATTACTTATTTTTCCTCTTCGTTTATCTCTCATTTCATTAGCTACAGTCCAAATGAAGAAGACCTTTATGAACCCAATTTTCCCAAACAAATCTCAATAAAAATAAGAACAAAACAATTTTTATTTTCTAGAAAATTTATCCCAAAAAGACAAAATGATTGACACTAGAGTAACAAATTTCTTCAATAGAGATTTAACAAGTATATCTGTGATATTCATATTCTACTATTCTTTCTCCTTTACATCTAAAATCAATGGAGCATGATTAATCCAGAAAAGGAGCATATTTGCAGAGGATGGATTTGGTTTTGGTTTTGGACAGTGAGTTGGGTTGGATTTGGTTTTGGCTTTGGTGGTGACGGGTGGTTGTACACAAGAAGGTGGAAGCGGGGGTTAGGTTAGATTTGGTTTTGGTATGGTGGGTTGGGTTGTTGAGAGTGGGTTGTAGAAGGTGAACAATTCATGTTCCTTTATTTTTATTTTAATTATTTTGAGGGAAATGTACAATAGTGAAAATACTATATGAATGAAATTGCCCTTTTTTAAAATGGTCTAAATACCCTATTTTTAATTTTTTAGGTTAACTGATGGTGTTTTGGATGATTCTATTCAGATGGACCCCAACTACATATTTATGAAGGGTTAGGAACTTTCGTTGATACAAAATGAATGTTAAGGTAAAGTCTGTAAAAATAGAAAAGTTTATGGATCATTGCTGCAATTATTCTTAAAATTTATGGTAGACTATGAACAACAAAATCTACAAACTTGCAATTTTATGAGTCGAACATCACTTAACTAATTTTATCAATTATTTGTTCTTCATTTGCATAATCTATAAATTAGTCATAATTTCAAATTTGTTATAAATAATATAGTTATTAATACATGGCAATTATACCTAAACAGCCTTAGTTATTATTACCATTGTATTCCTAATTTTTTTCATATAAATATGGGACCCTCGTTGTCAATAAAATATACACAACTCTATTGACTTATCTAGTTTCTCTCTATTTTATAACACGTTATCAGCAATATTTCTCAAAAGGATGAATTGCTAAGACATTTGTTTAGATGATAGAGCAACCATGCATACTATATTTCAATATAAAAAAGTATTTTTTGAATTTAACATTAGTAGAATATAATAGTAATATGATATCAGGGGCATCGAATATGATGAAAATTCAGGAAGAATTTGTATAATTTTGAAAAGATATTTACTGCAGTGGATCACATTGAGAAGGTGTAAGAACATAATATTATATATATTTGAATAACTTCTTTTGTATTTGACTATAAACAGATAATAGAAAAATTTCATGCATTCCTATCTGGTATGTATTATATATTTATAAAAATAGCCGAATCAAATATTATCGCAATTCTGTAATTCACTGACACAAAAAAGTTTTCTATTTTGGCATGACCAACTTGAACATCCAGAAAATATAATGATGTGCCAAATAATTAACAATTCACATGAACATCCACTAAAAAATCAGAAGATTCTTTTACCTAATAATT